GGGAAAGAACCAACACTTGTTTTAACCGATCAAGATGCTGCAATAAAACAAGCTGTTGAGAATGTGTTTCGTAATTCAAAGCACCGATTATGTATGTGGCATATAATGAAAAAGTTGAAGAAAAAGGTATTATTTTAATATATTTCAAATATATTACTTATTAGTATATTCATTTATGAATATTGATTGTTATTTTACTTATTATTATTTATTCATTTATGAATATTTTTGTTTTAATACAGATATCAGATGATTTATTTACGAACACAGACTTTAGAAAAAGGTTTTCGAAGCTTGTTTGGGACATTAATATGAAACCTGATGTTTTTGAAGTGAAGTGGGGTTTGCTTATGAAGGAATTCAATCTTGAAGACACAAGATGGTTTAAAGACATGTTTACAATACGTGATTCATGGATACCTGGATATTTTAGTGATATTCCAATGTGTGGTTTGATGAAGACTACATCGAGGTCAGAGAGTATGAATTCATTCTTTAATACATATTCAGAAAGCGGGAACTTACTTTTGAATTTCATGATGAATTACGACACTGCCATTCAAAAGCAAAGGAATACTCAACGAGAGCTTGATAAGGCATCAAAGAAAGCATCATATAAAATGCAAACACCTCGAGAAATAGAACTGCAAGCATCAAAGGTTTATACAAGTACATTATTTTTTGAGGTGCAAAAAGAAATATATAAAGCATGTTTTTTTGTACATACTCATATGTTGGTATTGAAGATGGTTGGGAAGTTTACATTGTGCAGCACAACAAAAGTAAAAGTGATTTTAAAAATGAATTTATGGTAACTTTACTAGTTTTTTATGTAAAATGTAATAATATTCATATATGAATATGAGAATATTCATATATGAATATCATATATGAATATTGATATTCAATATTCATATATGAATATCAATATTCATATATGAATATATGAATATTATATGAATATATGAATATATGAGTGTTGATATTAGTATTCTTATATGAATGTAAATGTGTAAATGTGTAAATTTTGTTTTTGTATCAGGTTGAGATGTGGTGTTAAAGAAATTCCTAAAAGGTACATTTTGAAGAGATGGAGAAAGGATGTGATATCAAGAAATTATAGTTTTAGTTCTGTTCAATCCGATTCAGGTGATTGTGAGAATGTAAAGCTAGTCAATGATTCATATTATAGTTTTGAATCATGTTTGGATATTGTAAGAGATGACAAAAAGAGATTGGCTTTGTTTGCTGAGAAACCAAAAATGTTGTTGAAGGAATTTGAGAGTGATTATATTTCTCCTGGATTGAAAAGCAAGACAGATGGTGAAGTCGTATGCAAGCTTTTGGGTGTTACTATTCCTATTCCAGAAGAGATTAATATTCATGTTCCTGAAGTTCAAAGCAATAAAGGTCCTGGAATAAAGAAAAGAATTCCAAGTGCAGGTGAAGTAGCATATGAAAATTCTAAAAAAGAACATAGAATGTGTTCAGGATGTGGAAAACGAGTTCCACACAATTTACGTACTTGTCTAGAAAGAGTTGGAGCTGCTAAATCAGCAAAAGACAGTTAGGGATTTTTTAGTTTTTTTTTTGTTATGTTTTTTGGTTTTATTCATTTATGAATATATGCAGATAAAAACAATAAACAATAATATTCATGTATGAATAATACACATTTATTGATATGGTAAATTGATATGTTGATATTTGTTTTTTAAATTACTATAAAATAAGTTATATTGATATTGTAAATTATTCATAAATGAATACAAATATGTGAAATTTGTTATACTAATAAATAAGTAATATTCATATCTGAACTTTTTTATGTTAATATATGAACTTTGTTATACTAACATATTACTTTGAACTTATTCATAAATGAATATATCATATTCGTATTCATTTATGAATAAATACAAATAAAGTTTGAAAATATTTGAATATAAAAAAATGACATAAATAGGCAAACTTGTTTCTACTAATAAGTTAGTTATATTCATATCTGAAATTTTTTATATTCATATATGAACTTTGTTATACTGACATATTACTCCTAATTTAATCATAAATGAATATATCATATTCTTATTCATTTAAGAATAAACATAAATAAACTTTGAAAATATTTAAATATAAAAAACTGACAGAAATAAACGAAGTTGTTTCTATTACATAATCATTCAACACAAGATAATAAAAGCTGTTCATAAGCATTTTACAAAATATTAAAACGAACATTTAACAAACCATTTAAAACTTGTTTCGCAGAATCATCTTACATGTACTTCAAATCCATTCATCTTCAACACAAACTGTTCTATAGCATCACACTTCAACATTCTTTCATCTTCACAAGCAATCATCAATATTCTTTTAACCTTTTTTGAATTGTTTGCATAGCCTTGTATGCATGATCAGTATGCACTTTGAATTCAACTTTTTGATATTTTTCAGCAAGATCCAACACCTTAGCCTTCAACATGTTAATTTCAGAAGTTAGCGTTATGTGTGCATATCTTTGCCTGAGCTTCTCTAAAGTAGTTTGCTGAACTGCACTTTCTTTATGAAGACCTGGTTTCCACTTTGAGAGTGGTTGTCCCATATAGGTCTCCATATGTCTCATTGCAAAGACCCCACAATCAACTTTGTTTTTAACTGTTCTCCATGACATTTCAAGTCGTTGGGGTTTGATACTTTCTTTTGAGATTGCATTTGCTCTTGGATGGTTTATTTCTTTAAAGTATCTCACAAACAAATTTTTCTGATCATTAAATAAAATAAAAGTTAGATATGTAATAAATTGGTTCTTTTATGTTGTTGTGAATTGGGTACATACCAAAGGTTTCAATATTACTCCATATTTCCCTTCATAATCCCCCTCAACTGCACTATTGTCTAGAATTTCAATTGATGGTTTCTTTAAGTTGAAGACAATCACAAAAATGTGAGCACTTCTAACAACTGGAAAGAATACCTGTTTTATGTATATAATGGTAATTATTTTGTTCATAAAATATATATAAAAAAACAACTTTAATTAACATACCATGTCAATATCTTTTATGTTCAAGATTTTTTTGTACCCATTGGTACTGTCATGAAAGTTCTCCTTGAATTTTTCATACTTTCTTTCATCAGACAATGTTGAAGTTAGATAAGCAGTCTGTAACCAATATAATCATATGTGAATTTCAGTTGAATATATATAATTATGTTAAAGAATACATCATATTTGTGTAATCATATGTGAATTTCAGTGGTAAAAAAATATAATATTCATAAATGAATACATCATATTGGTGTATTCATTTATCAATAAGGAAGGAATTAAGGTTAGAACATAAACTTACAGAAACTCCAACTTTCAAGAAGAGTCTGTATGGTGAATTTCCAAAATCCCTTTCCAGTTCTTGGTGGTTAAGTAAATCAGACCAAGTGTCTAAAACTTCTCCAAAAATCTCTGTGTTTGCATATAGACTTTCCATAACTGCTCTTTCTGTTATCTGACCATATTTTGTCTGGACAACCACATCTCTGCAAATATAATCAAAATGTCATAGATTATTATCTATATAATAATCATATATGAATGTATATAAAATAAAGTTCCTTACGATGTATTACCTTGTAAGTTGAACAACCATTCACAGACAATACTCTCCTGATGTGTCAGTTTGGGTTTTGTGTCTGGTATTTTTGCATTTGAAAGGTGATTTGAAAGCATCAGCAAGCTTCTTCTCTCTTGGTTGATCCAGATCATGCTTTGATGGTCCTACTTCAGTAGGAATTGATACAGAGATTGGATTTGGATTAAGAACATTTTTCTTTGCTAATCTGATAACAACCTTCTGATGGTCGTCTTTGATTTGTTTCTTTGTAAGTTGTTTTTTTGGTGAAGATTCATTAGATTTTTTACTTGAAGTTTGATCTGAATCTTGACTGAGACCTAGACTAAAGCTTGGATGAGTATCTGCATGCCAGGAGATTTATCATATAAATAGTTGTAAGTTAATTATAATATTTGAGTTTATATTTTGAAATGTTTATCCAAATTGTTACCTCCTTTATTTCCTTTTGTCTTGTCAGCTTTTTCTCCTTTCTTGTTTTCATTTTCTGACTTTTGCTTTCCTGAAAGATAAAGAACTTTGATTAAGTAATTCATATGTGAATAAGTAATGTATTCATTTATGAATAAGTAATGCATATCATTATTTATGAATAAGAAATATTTAAAATTTTATTTTTTTATATTGCGTTATTTATTTGTGAATAATAAAACTTATTATATTCATCTATTAGTGATTCAACTATTTACCTTTATCTTCTGCATTTCCTTTCTCAGTTTCTATATGTTTATCTTCACCTCCATCTTTCATGTTCTTAGCTTTTGTTCCTCCTTTATTTCTATCTTCAGAGTTTTACTTCCCTGAAACATATACATCATATATGAATATTTTTTATTTTTTATTCATTTATATAGTGTATTATTCACTTATGAATAAACAATGTTATTAAAAAAATCAATATAAATATTGTAATATATTTTAAATCATTCATTTACCTGTATCATCTCTCTTTGTTTTTTCAACTTTTGTTCCTTGTTCATGTACACCTTCTGATTTTTCCTTTTCTGCAAGAGTATTAGTTTTACATGTACTCATTGGTGACCCTGGTCAAAATTTAATAAACACAATTGTTATTGTGTATTAATATTTTTATATATTTTTTTAAAATAAAAGTAAAACAAAATTTACCTATATCAATATTATCGAAAATAGTTTTCATTTCAGGGTGATTCCAGATTTCTTCTTCTTGACTATTTAAACTTGAAATTCCAATTCCAAGGACATTGTCCACAATGTTGTCAACAACTTTATCCAACAAATTTTCATTTTCAGTTTGTTGAATAGTCTCTTCATGATTATTTGTTTCTTCAGCATCATGATCTTTTTTCTCTTCATCATTGTCATTTTCATTGTTCTTTCCATCTTTCTCTTTTACTTCAGTTTCACCTTCTTTTTATTCTTATCTCCATCATTCTTTATTCCTTCATTCTCTGCTTCATTTGAATCAAGCAAGTAATCCACTTCTGGTTGACTTCCATCATTATCATTTTCTTCTTCGCGATTTCCTTCATCATCTTCATTTTCTTTTTGATCATTTGTTTTTTGGCCCATTATTGGTGTCAAATTGATACCTTCAACTCCAGTTTCATTGCTTGGAAATTCAAAAAGTGTTGTGCTTTCAGTTTTTTCTTCAACAATTGTATTTGTCATCTTTTCTTTGAAAATCCTAAAACTTTCCTTTTCAGGGAACTTTGTTATTGCATCATTGAGCTTTGAATTCAACTTTTCCTTCATCCTCTCAAAACTATTAAGCATTTTAGATATTTTTGATTCATATGCTATGTAATAAAAAGAAGTATGATTAGAATTTAATGTAATCATATATTATTAACATGTTCAAACTAATTACCTCAACAGAATGATCTTCATCTTTATCAGAATCACTGTCTTCGAGATCTGTCTCTCCTTCATCTTGTTCATTAGCAAATTCTTCATTTAATTCTCCAAGTCCAAATCTACCTTTTTCTTGTTAAAATGTCTCTCGATATCTAATCTTCTCTGAACTCCAATAATAAATTGTTGGACGTTTACGTGTTACCGTTAAAGCTTCTGAGCGGATGTTATCAGCATAGAACAACTGCACATAAATGATAAGGAATTGATATTCATATATGAACAAGTAAATATTAGTTTTTACTTATTCATATATGAATAAGTAATGTAAAACATAACGTGTGAAGAAGTATATTTTTATTATTCATATATGAATATGTGCTATTAGTTTATGAATAATAAATATTATTAAAAATTGAGTATAAACATTATAATAACTTACCACCAAGAAAGCTGAAGGTCCAACAAAGAAGCTGGTATGTATGAGTTCTTTGTTCTGACAAGACAGTCCAAAACATAGCTGCACCAGTCTATGTTGCTGATATCTATTTTTCTTGAAATATAACTCAAAGGAAACAGGTTGCATCTTCCCATTGATGTTGACTCGCAAAACGTGTTGACAAAAAGAACTAAGAAGTTCAATTTGAAATTGAAATCAGCTTGTGTGGTAGAAACAATAACATTTTTGATTGCACTCAGTCGGATGATTGAATCTTTTTTAAATTGTTGCTTCCATTCATCATAACTTGTATCATCCTTAGGCCATTGATCCAGTTGTGTAAGTTTGGTTCCACCAATTGGTATGACCAACATGTCATGAACAGACTCTGCTGTTACTTTCAGTTCCTTTCCTTCAATATCTTTCACCATTCTCTCAGAATCAAATTTTTGAAGAACATAAAATCCCAGCTTCAGTGGTATATCTGTGATTTTCATTTTTAACAAAGCTCCAAAACCCATAGATCTTACAGATTCTTTTTGTTCTTTGCTCATCCCAAGGATTATAGATAGTAATGCCTCTGATGAACATCTGTTTTTCATTGAGTAAAATTCTTTTACCATTGTTTTTTTTTGTCTTTTTTGATTGGTGACTCCTTTTTTTTTTGGCTTCTTCGATTGAGGACTACTTTCAAAATCAGAGTCTGAATCTTGTAGTTGTTGTTCTTCAGGAGTTTTCCTTTTTGATGGACTTTTTCTTCTTTTATGCTTTATTTTCTTTGGTACTTTTGTTTCTTTTTTATCTGGGAAATGAAAACATATAATATTTGAATAAGTTACTGATATATGAATATGATATATGCTCGTTGATTTATTAATATTTATTTATTACAAAAATATAACTAATATATACAATTTTATTCATATATGAATATATTAGATATGATAGGAATTTTGTACCTTTCGCATTTTTCCTCTTCAAATCTGTTTCTATCATAGTTGTGGGGTCTTTATCAGAAATACAAATATTCTTACCTTCATGAAAGACTGAGTAGAAGATAAATAATTTTGAAATACATTTTACAAAGAAAATATATTATATTCATAAATGAATATAGAATATTCATTTATAAGATATGCTATGTATTTTATACCTTTTTGATTTTTCTGCATTGATCTTGTTTCTCTCATTGTTGGTGACTCTTTATCGGAAATGTTAGTGTTCTTACCTTCATTCAATAGTAAGTAGAAGATAAATGAGTTTGATATTCATGAATGAATATTTGAATAATATGTTTTGTTATATTCATATGTGAATATAACATATATAAGTCATTCTTGTTGTATTCACATTTGAGTAATGTATGTATGGCAGCAAGTTATGTTCTATTCATATGTGAATATAACATACATATTCACGAATGAATATTTGAATAAAACATATGTATTCATATTTTTTTATTCTCATATGAATATGTTTTGTTATATTCATATGTGAATAGAACATATATAAGTCATTCTTGTTGTATTCACATTTGAGTAATGTATGTATGGCAGCAAGTTATGTTCTATTCATATGTGAATATAACATACATATTCACAAATGAATATTTGAATAAACATATGTATTCATATTTTTTTATTCTCATATGAATATGTTTTGTTATATTCATATGTGAATAGAACATATATAAGTCATTCTTGTTATATTCACATTCGAATAATGTATGTGTGGCAGCAAGTTATGTTCTATTCATATGTGAATATAACATACATATTCACGAATGAATATTTGAATAAAACATATGTATTCATATTTTTTTATTCTCATATGAATATTTTTTGTTATATTCATATGTGAATAGAACATATATAAGTCATTCTTGTTGTATTCACAATTGAGTAATGTATGTATGGCAGCAAGTTATGTTCTATTCATATGTGAAAATAACATACATATTCACGAATGAATATTTGAATAAAACATATGTATTCATATTTTTTTATTCTCATATGAATATGTTTTGTTATATTCATATGTGAATAGAACATATATAAGTCATTCTTCTTATATTCACATTTGAGTAATGTATGTATGGCAGCAACTTATGTTCTATTCATATGTGAATATAACATACAGATTCATGAATGAATATTTGAATAAAACATATGTATTCATATTTTTTTATTCTAATATAAATATGTTTTGTTATATTCATATGTGAATAGAACATATATAAGTCATTCGTGTTGTATTCACATTTGAGTAATGTATGTAGGGCAACAAGTTATGTTCTATTCATATGTGAATATAACATACATATTCACGAATGAATATTTGAATAAAACATATGTATTCATATTTTTTTATTCTCATATGAATATGTTTTGTTATATTCATATGTGAATAGAACATATATAAGTCATTCTTGTTGTATTCACATTTGAATAATGTATGTATGGCAGCAAGTTATGTTCTATTCATATGTGAATATAACATACATATTCATGAATGAATATTTGAATAAAACATATGTATTCATATTTTTTTATTCTCATATGAATATGTTTTGTTATATTCATATGTGAATAGAACATATATAAGTCATTTCTTGTTGTATTCACATTTGAGTAATGTATGTATGGCAGCAAGTTATGTTCTATTCATATGTGAATGTAGCATACATATTCACGAATGAATATTTGAATAAAACATATGTATTCATATTTTTTTATTCTCATATGAATATGTTTTGTTATATTCATATGTGAATAGAACATATATAAGTCATTCTTGTTGTATTCACATTTGAATAATGTATGTATGGCAGCAAGTTATGTTCTATTCATATGTGAATATAACATACATATTCACGAATGAATATTAGTTTTGATTGTGTTCAGAAGTAAACAAAACATATTTTATTTACCTTTTTGATTTGTTCTTGTTTTTTGTTTATATGTTTTCTTCACTGTTGGTGTTGTTTCTGTAAGGGTAAGTAGTTAATATTAGGAAAACATAAGCGAAATGTGAAGTAACGTTTGTATTTTGACAGAATAGTTTTGAATAAAGATGGAAAAAGAAGAGATGATGTAAAATCATTTATATATCAACTAATAATGGATGATTCTTACAAAAATTTCAAGTAAATAAAGTAATAATGAAGGAGGGTTACGAGAATGAACGAGTATCATAAAAAATTGAAGTAAACAACCTTTTTTGAAGAATGAATAGTGTGAAAACAATGTTTTTAGTTCTAAATCAACTAATAATTATCGAAGATTACGAGAAATTTCAAGTAATCAAGTGATAATTTCATAAATGATTCGAAATCGTTAAAAACTCGAGAAAAAACGCCGATGGTTACCTTTCATTGTCAAGAGTGAGGAAATGGTCTCGTTCATGTTTTCATCGAAGACATTTTTCTTCGTTTATGTTATTTGATGCTTCTGCAAATGGTTTTCTTCTTATCGATTCTTCTGCAAATGGTTTTCGTGTTATGGTGTATCGAAAAAGGAAATGGTGCTTTTCTGTCGAGATTTGATGTGTTATCAAATTACTCAAGTGCCCTGACGGTTTAATGTTTTTGGATTATTTACAAGTTTGCGATCGCTCATTAATGTATTTGGAATTTTACAAGTTTGCCACCGTGGTTTTTTAAGCTCATTTAAATGATTGGCTGAGAATTGTTCCCCCATTCTCAACCTTTTTTTTTCTCAATTGAACCTCCTATATATATATATATATATTATATATATATATATATATATATTATATATATATATATTATATATATATAGTCCGGTTCCGGTGATGACTCTTTTTAAGGTGATTACTCGTGAAGACACCTTAAAAAAATTAAAAAAAATATATAAATCATAAAATCGAGCATGGTACTATATCCGGAAAAACAATTGGAAAAAAAAGTTTGCATTATTAAAATTGAATAATGGATCAAAAAAATATCAATGCTTCAATTTTAATGATTCAAAATTTTTTTCCAATTTTATTTTTCTCTCCGATATAATAGTATGCTCGATTTTATGATTTGTATTTTTTTAAGATTTTTTTTCAACTTTTTTAAGGTGTCCTCACGAGTTTTCACTTTAAAAAAAATCTTTATCCGATCTTCTCTCTCTCTCTCTCTCTCTCTCTCTCTCTCTCTAGATATTATATATATATAGATATATATTAATATATATTATAGATATATATATATATATATATAATATTTTAAATAAATTTTTTTAACATAAATGTCACTTTAATTAAAAGTTGTTTAGCAAATCTTATATTATATATAAAACGTATCAATCATATCTTGAATTTTAAGAAGTAAAAGGTACAAAGTTTTTTGTACAAATCAATTATACATAATAAAATCATTAATACTTGCCAAAAATTTAAAGACTTGAATTAATGAATGTTATTAAAATTTTAATTTGGAGCAAAATGACAGTATTAAAATATTAAACTCATCTATATAAATTAATTTATATTTATTAAATTAGACACCGATAATAATTAATTTACATCAAATGTATAAAAAAACAATATAAATAGAAGTTTTAAACATAAATATTTTTATTAAAAGTGATAATTTTTGTTATTACATATTAACTAATAATAAAATCTAATAATTATTTTCCGATAAGAAAAAGTATTCGCCAAAAGAGTTATGTATCGTCGCTGCTTTGCAGGCACACATGTAATGTGTTTATAATAGTATAGTTTTAACAAATGATAAATTCATTAACTCACGTGAAGAGTTCTTCACGAGCTAAATTGAATATTGTCGACTAAAATAATAGATTTTGAATATTTTATATGAATTTAATGATAAATATATAAAGCAATAAATTTTTTTGACCGAATATGTATAATAATTGGATACCCTATTAAATCGTGATGATTCATAAAAAACAATTTAAGACGATTCTTAAAAATTATATTTAATTGGAAAAATACATAACAGTGCATTTTCTAGCATGTTTTTAACCAGAAACTCCTTGTCATTGATCGGTAGCATTTATTTTACACCATTGGTTGACTTGTCATGCGATGAGAGCTTGAAGAGTTCAGGCGAACCCAGTCTAGTAAGATTCACATAATCTTGCGGACCATGAGCCGGTAATCCAGCAATCAGAAGTCCGATCACTCTCCAAACCTCGACAAGTAAAGGTTTCACTGTACTCTGGTCCATTTTGATAATAAATGATGAAGCTCCTCAATAACTCCCAGAATGCATTAGCAAACATGGGAATAAAAGCCAATATCGAGAAATAGTTCTTGTTAGGTTCTTCAGCAAGCACCTGTACAAGTAAAGTTATCCACTAGTTTAAACGACATAACTAATCACATTATGTGTTAGATCGACGTTAGGTTTACGAGAGGTTATTAATTACCTGTCCCTTGTAGAAGCTATTGTAATAATGGCAGTCACCAAAATGTTTGAACAAAAGGTCAGAACTATCGAAGGGCACTCTAGGCACCAAATCATTGCAATACACAAACCTAAGGTACCTCGATCCATGATTTACCAACACCTCTTTCATGAATTCACCAAATCGTTTATCTCCCACCCTAGGTTGCCCAAATGTATACAACCCTTCAAGTTTCGATAGCAAATCAGTTTCCCCATGGTGTGCTAAAACCGCTGGAAATACAATCGTCAATGCTGCTCCCAAAATGTGTCCGGTTACCATGAACTTGGCGTTTGGGTTCTTTTCAAGACGTTCTTTAAGTTTTTTTCTGATCACGTAGTAAGCGTAGGGTTTTTGGTTGTCTATTTGAATGTCTTTCGACCACCCTAAGCTCCTTTTGTAGCCCTAATGCTTTCAAGAAACCTGCATGGACCTTGCCAATACCGGGGAGATGGTACCATGAAAGATCAACGTCGGATGACCAATCTTTGGCATTGAAAGGTGATGTGCCTCTGAATGAAATACCTATGAGCTCAGATTCACCTGTCTTATCACTCCACATGAACCCTTGTGTCGTGTAATCCTCCTCATAATCTGAAACAAATTTAATCAATATAAATTCTTTTCAGTTACATGATCTTAATTACTTCATTTAGAACTCAATGAAAAAGGCTTTTTCAAGACTAATATATTACCATTCCAGCAATCAAAGTACTCCAAAAACTCCATCTGCAATCACATCACTCGTTTAATTAGCTTTAGTAGTTTTGAACGACTTGATTTTAACAATCATCAGAGGAAAATGACATTGAACTTTTTAAATGACATTGAACTTTTTTATATATATACCTTCCAATGCTTCTCGACTGTCTCTTTGATGTAAGCTTGGTTTTCATAGGCAGATTTAGCAGCCATAATGGCGAGTGCGCTTGTGTATCTGGGATCTTCGTGCTTAATTCTGCTGTCTAAATCCCTTCGTATGTCCCATAGCCCGATCGCCGTCAAGAACTCTGGGGACTCCTTATTAGGCAGCACCAGTTTTCCTATATTGCATCATTCGGTTAAACAAAAGTGAAAACCAAATTAACTCGGAATATATAATATAGTTTAATCAGATAGGTAGTATTTTTATTTTGGGAAAATGACTATTTAGGGTAACTAACTGTTGCGTTTGTTTTCATTTGGTCCCTTTTTTTGTACTCAATTTACCATCGAACTTGTTGTTTGTGTTCACTATAACCCTTTTAACCGGCTTTTGACCTGTGATAGCCGGTCAAGGGTTATGGTGAACACAAACAACAAGTTAGATAGTATATTGAGTACAAAAAAAAAAGCAAAGGGACCAAATGAGAACAAACTCAACAGTTGGTTACCCTCTTGAGTCATTTTCCCCAAAAAGTTAAATGTAATTAAAGTTGCAAAATTATCAAAGACCGCAACCTTCTTTGGCCAGAACGTATATGAAAAACGTTTCGAAGGGGTAACTTCGTTAAAATAAAGTCTATGATATTCTTACTGTGGTTAGCTGTCAACACCTTTCTACAAAAGGATATGACTGTGTATGAGAGGTATATTTATCAGCATAAACGTTTACCACAAGGTATATTATGGTGATGTGTCTGCAAAAGTTGCATGATATTGTACATATTGATGTTCTATCTTATCCTATGAATTCGATCTTAAAGCTAAGTAAACTAAAAAATCACAGCACTTGTGATTTCACTCGTTTGTAGACTTGTCTAGAATCCATGATACGATAAATCATTTGATTGAAAAAGTAAATGTAGTCGTTAAATGCACCTGCTTAGTCAAGATTTCCCTAAAAAGTATTCAAGTGCATTACAAAGTTGTATATGTATGAATAATGTTATTTCGTGGGTTATGTTTTGAAGAGAAGTAAGAATTAATCTCATAAAGTCATTAATATCAGTAGGAGATGACGTGAGATTTGCTGTAATGAGTAAGAGAAAATGAATGAGGGTAACCAACTGTTACATTTGTTCTCATTTGGTTCCTTTCCTTTTTATGTACTCAATATACCATCGAACTTGTTGTTTGTGTTCACCATAACCCTTTGACCGGCTATCACAGGTCAAAAGCCGGTCAAAAGAGTTATGATGAACACAAACAACAAGTTCGATGGTATATTGAGTACAAAAAAAAGGAAATTGACCAAATGAAAAGAAACGCAACAGTTAGTTATCCTAAAAAGTCATTTTCCCTTTTATTTTTATATTATAATATTCTTGAAACAATTAAAAGATCAACATACGTAATCACTATATATTCAATGAAATTAATCTACCTTTTAATATCACCAAAGTCGAAAACTACCACCGCTTTAACAAATAAAACGGACATTAGCGACGGTTTGGACCTTATTAAAGTCTTAGCTTTACCATCGTACTTTACTAGTATTTCGTGACTAATTTCCAAATAAAATTCAGTCTTGAATTGTCCTTGTTTAGGCGACGAATTGATCTGTTTAAATTGTAGCTCGTGAGACATTTTGGCTTTTTCCGAAGGTGAAGTGTTGTAAGACTATTTCTTTTTAGCTTCAACAAACAAAAAAAAACACTACCCCACCAGATGACCTTGACAGCTAAAGAACACCCAATATAATCTTTCCACAGAAATAAAATCTTGATCCAACTCTAATAACGTAGATAAGACCGAATTAAAATAATAATCCATGATCTTTTAAATCATACACGTAATCTAATAAAATAATAATGACACCTAATAAGATCTATTAGAAATCAACATGGGAAAAAAATACACCATATGTCGAGAGATTTTCGGTGCCCCTTTAATGTTTCTTTCAAGAACTTAAAACTGAAAATATGAAAATATTATGGTCGAATAAAGAACATAGATAGAATGAAACCTGATACGACATTCAAAAGTAGCATGAGAAATCCTCCATTGGCATCGGAAAAGTTGGGAAGAAACTCAATGGCCGAGCCTAGCCAACCTAAGGGTTTATCAACTAAATGAAGAACCTTTTGGGCTAGAATGGATATGAAGATGACGAACCGATGTCCAAAGCCTTCTTCAACAGTTCCATCTGGACAGTCTATGAATTTTCTGTTACCAATATGTTCGGAGAACAAAAGCATCACCAGATCCAAAAATCCGACGTCTTTTGGACTTAATAGCAGATAGTCTTTGCAAAATGACTTGTTGCATGTTGTTTTAGTGGTGAGTTCAGTAGCCATGGTGAATTGTTGTTTGGGGTTTACGTTGGGAGAAAGGTGAGGAAGTAGATGTGTGCAGGTGAGTTCCAATTGTTTGGCTATTTATAGAAATGTGATATTGGTAGTTGTAGATTATTTTAATTAGAACTATTAATAGAATTATTGAAATATGTTTGGATCTTGCCTACAAGTTATACTAAACGATTAAAATGCCAAACAGTTGTTTTCGCGACATCTTGATTTTCTTGCAATTATTATTATTATTATTATTATTATTATTATTATTATTATTATTATTATTATATTATAATATACTCGAGTGGTGTCTTGACTCTAATCGTGATAATTGAATGCCACATGTGACGAATGTGAACGGATTTTCTACAAACCTACCAACCGAAAATTCCAATTTTTGCAATCCATTCTAAGAAAAAAAAATGAGCAAGTCACTTTTATGGTATAAAACAAGTTTAAAATGTAAAAATTACAAAATACCAAAATCTCAATATGTTACAGCAAACACAATGAGAAGAATTTAACATTGAATACCAAAAACTATTGCAAATAATCCTTAACTTTTTAGAAGCAAATTTTAAATAAAAATCCAAAATTCAGTATCAAAAAAATCATGAGTAGTTAAAGTGTGGTTCTAGTTTATTATTAAACCTAATTGTAATTTTTTATCCGATAATCTAGAATTAATATATATATATATATATATATATATATATATATATATATATATATATATATATAGAGAGAGAGAGAGAGAGAGAGAGAGTCAACATGAAATAAAAAGGAAAATTTTGGTTGGAAGATAAAAAGTTTTTTTCTAAATATTTTTTTAGCGAACAAACAAAATGAATCATTAAACGATTCAAAAGTTAGATTATTCATAAGAAAAAAAATCCCAAAAAAAATATCTTCATTATTCATTTGTAAGTAAATTAAGAAAAAATTCACTTTTATGACAATTTTAGTGAATGACAACAAAATCATTGTATAAATGAATCATCGATATGCTTTTTGAGATTTTTTTTTTGTGAATTATGTTATTTTTGAATCATCTACTGATTCATTTGTTTTGTTCGTCAAAAAAATATGTTGAAAAAAACTTCTTACCTTCCTACCAAAAAAATATTTCTTACCGGATCTATATATATATATATATATATATATATATATATATATATATATATATATATATATATATATATATATATATATATATATATATATACTAAAGAAGGACAATCATTAGGAACAATAAAGTTTAAGGTTTTGTCAAAAGTGGTCCGCTGTTTATGGGTGTGGGTACAATTCTGTCTCTTTCTTTTGGGGTCATTTATTATATCATTTTGTATATTCTTTGTGTACACGTGTTGTTTTGGATTTGCTTCACCGTTTTGTCGACCAATCAGTTTTCGATTTCTGTTATTGTATTTCATGTATATGTTATCGACATGCTTTTTTATCTTTCTTTCTATCTATTAGACCAGATTGATGTTATAGCTAACAATAGTACAAAAATGACCTACATACACAACATACAAGTGTGACCATATGCGTATAGTGACATTTTAGTTTTTCACTGATAGTGTAACGGAAAGTGACGCCATCGTATGGGTCTTATGGTCACTTTATAATGTAGTGTACGTATGATATAAAAAAATGCGGTAATATTATAAAAGTGTGGCTATTGGGTAGCGAATTTTGTTGCTAAAATCAATCATTTTATCCAATATTGTGGCTTTAAACCGTCAGTAGAGACACTTATTAGTAATTGTAGTGATTGTATATCACCAACTTGCGACATCCATGTTGTTTCAGTGTGGCGTTTTACTAATAAATTGTCACACAGTGTAAAGTTTATTAAGACTATTGGATATCTTTTGAAGACATGTAATTATGGTGAACATGATAATGTTCGCTAAATCGTCACATGTAATTAATTTCATAAGTGACAATTTGCTAATAATTAGTTACAAAAGCAATCAGTTTTGGTGACTATTGTCTAACGTATAGAGACACACAATTAAGTAAAACATGATCATAAGTTTTATAAAGACATATATTTTATTAAAATTATGAATTTAGTATTAGTTTATAGCCCTATTTATATTACTAATCATGACCAATGCTATCATCAAGACATATAAAAAGTCGTACCTATGACTATTTTATATCATTTCGACATAGAAAATCAATTAAAAATAACTGTAATTGATTCATAGTCACAATAGCATTTTTAATTGTGAACAATATTCAATTTATTACGACAAAAATTGATTATTAGTATAACCTATTTTATCATTTAGACATGCAAACATTATGGAGTGTGACTATTGTTTGTACTACAACCATAGACAAGTAATTAAACCATAGTCATTAGTGTCCTATCAACACACATAATTTAAATGAACATGAGTATTATCTTCCATATTGTCACATTATTTTCTAGACACAATTGTTTTTTTTTATAGCGACTATTATTGAAGCACGTCAATTAATATAAAATGTGGCTATTGTTTAGCCTTTCGCCATATTTATTTATTTTGGCCATGACATTTGTTTGGTTTTAGGCCTATTAACTTTTACAACTGCAAGTTTTTTTTATATATTTAGGCACAAATATAAATACATATAATAACCACCTATTATTATAAAATGCAGAAAATAGAAATATACAATAAATGTAATAAAAAAAATCTTATTAATAAAAATATAAAATTCATACATAAATTTTCTTGTTAATAGTTGACCAAAAAATAATAACCAATATAAAATCCAGATAACATCAAAAGGGAAAAAGCTTAAGAAAATATTAAACGGAGAATAAGAACTTCTACGTTGTTTTCTTAATAACATTGCTCCTTATTTGCTTTATTATATATCTCATGTAGTGTTGTTGAACTTTTTTTTCCTTCTTAGACTTGGTTGTCTTAATCTCAAGTTACTTGTGGTCCCTGTAACAATAAAATGAGGTGTTAAAACCCATAATGCAAAGTTATCTACAAACTGAGAATAAACTCATAATGGGAAAGCAATGAAAATACAAGTTAACTCAATTAGTAATTTAGTATTTAAAGCCTGCTTTGCCAAACATATAGAAAACAACATAAAAATGAAATTTATGACAACAGACTTCTCATGTTTTTGGTATTTTTGTACATGAAAAAAAACATACTTTTCATTTTTGATCACCCGATAGTATGGAAAAGGCAATGTACTTTCTTAAAAATCTACAATGCATTTGTTTAAAACCATCCAAAGCCTGCATAACCTTCCAAATTCCTTTTGTTTACATGTTGCAGTTTAGTATTAAAAAGCATACCTGGTGTGCTTGTCCAAGTATGTTGTACTTGTTTTGGGATACATAAGTTATAATGCACGCATTGATCAACAAATCCACCTATTACATGCTTAGGCAGATCCTCGAACCATCTAGGTTGGATCAAATAAAAAATAGATAAATAGCACACTTTATATATTTTATAGTAAAAAACTCTTAATTAGAGGTAAAATTTTAATAATAAATTGGTCAAGTGGAGTCATGGTCCATTTATTTAAAAGAATTAGCTTATAATCCATCTATTTAGAACAAATGAATCATGATCCATCCATTTATATTGTTCTGAGATTAAAATCTACTAATTTTGTTGATCAAAAATTCTTAAATCATCACACAAACAATACTTGCAATTCACATCAGTAAAGATGGCTTTTCTAGTTCTTGGATGGTTGAACCTGTTGTGGCTAAGGTTCTTTAGGGCCTAAAAAATATAAACAAAGTTAGGGTAAGAAAGATGTGACCAAAATCAAGCTACACAACAAAATTTACGGTAATCCTCCAGTTCAGCCAAAGAAATAAATTTTATAGAACTCAAGGTACCTGACAGCAAGATATATCAATATAAACCCATATACATGTAAGTCAGATTCTTTGAGCTGGTTAATCAAACACCTTACTTGCATAAAAATAAGATGCAGGTTAACAAAAATTAGATGTTGTTAATCAAGAAGACTAAAGTTAATCAACTTTCTCCATTATGTTAAATTGATAAGCATGCAACATTTCAAGTGATACAAAAATACAAGTTAAAAGCAAGCAACCCAACATTATACTTTTTCATTGAATAAAGTTTACCAAAAGTGAATGACGATTACCTGGCTCATAAATGTCGACATCAACAGGTCTTAAGACACCCACAATTCTGATTTGTTCCGTAAGTAAAAGCTGTAGAATCAAATCTATAGTTACAATTTACACCAACCACAACTTTAGGGGTAAAAAGTAAAAAGTTTAAAAGTAAATATACCAAAACACCATTTTTCCAGCAATGAGCACAACTAAGCTTACAGCAACAATAAGCACCACCATGCCTATAACCATCAAAGCTAGCACAAATAAGGCAATCAAGAGCAAAACAATCAGTCGACAGGGGAAAGAAGTCAAAACTATCATATGATAGCAAACACCAAATAGCAACATGGAAAGGACTTGATATCACCAAGGGTTGCCACCGACCAAGATACCTAACAGGGGTAAAAAGGACAAATTGCACAAAGTTCTCATAAAAGCTGTCACCATCATAGGAAAATTATTAAACTGCAATCAATAATCCAAAATACCATTCAGCCCGCTTCTGTAACATCCCAAGTTTAGAACCAAGAAGTTGAAGGGTGTTATGTGAAAATTAAGGAAGGGACTCGACGAGTAGGTCTCTTGACTCGTCGAGTCGAAGCGAGTGCCGGGCACGTGATTAAGTGGCCTGACTCGCCGAGTCGGCGGCTGGACTCGACGAGTCCGTGCTGGAAGAGGAAAACCCTAATCTTAGGGTTTGTACCCTATTTAAAGGACTTAATGTCCTCCCCTCAGCCCCCTTAGCACCCTTTGAGATCCAGAAACCCTAAATTCGTGTGTGAGAGTCCTTGGGAAGCAAATCGGAGCTTGGATAAGTAATTTATGAAGAGATCTTGAAGATCAAGGAGCTTGGATCAAGGAGATTTGTGGAGATTCGATTTATTCTTCAGTGGGAGGTCGTTTTTGAGGTAATGAATCGTTATCCTTGGCCTTCTCCT